CACGAACTGAACGCCGTCGTCGTTCGAAAAACGACATTTTTCGCCCTTGTATCGAAAACTACTATTATGATACAGCACAGGGCTGAATATAACCATCCTTATAGGCCTCTTCCTTAACTTCTATGGCGAGCCTTGTCTGTCTTACGACGAACTGTCTAACCAGTTAGACGACACCAAAAAATACAAGAAATTATCATCGGACAAATATTTCAACAACTACGCTTATGAGAAACGTCTTAGTCTATCTTTTGACACTCTGCTGGTGGAGGCGAACCAACGAGCCAAAGAAGTGAATAAAATGGCATTTGTACATGTGGTGGGAATCGGATTGGGTGTGTGGAGAGCATCCAGGCATCAGGATGCGGTTTTTATGAAATCATTCTCGCAGAGAATTCGGTAAATGATGTTTAAATCAATGTACCTCAGCCCAAAAACATTTTCAAACTAAAAAACTTTTACAGGTTTTTGAGTTCTACGTTGACCAACATCGCCAACATTTGCTTTTCCTATATAAATCATCCCTGTGGAAAATACGCGGATAAACAGAGAGTAGACATACCAAACCATCCACTAGGAGGAATTAAGATTCATATTGAAAATCGCAACCCGCACGATAGATTAGCTGGAGAGGACGCAGGTTGGTAGAGGCGCAAACGTTGTTTCCCTGCTCTTTCCAACTCGTACTTAGGCAAGCTGCTAGTGGTTTCCTACGCTTGGGATGGCAACGCTTTGCCTGGAAACGAGTTCTGGTTGGGCCAGCTTGCAGCTAGCGGCGATCCAGCTGCAGCTGCATCCACTCAGATTGCCGAGCTGCACAACGCGCACATCAATCCCAACGTTTCGGCTGCGAATTTAAGAATCGCCACGCTCAATGGAGTTGAGACGTTCCACGACTACATTCGAAGAGCTGCATCGCCCGAGTAAACACATTATGATTATTTATTTCAGATACCGACAATATAAAAACCCTGGCTTTAGAAATACTTTACAAGTTGTTTGAAACCATGTTGGTGGTAGCGTTCTTTGCATAGTACACGTAAACAGCGCCAGTTTTCACCTTAACAAAGGTGGCCTTTTCTTTGAGACACACGCACTGCTCACTGCGGAAGCCCGAGCTCTGATCCGTTCGGTTATGAATCAATGGCTCGCTATAAAAGTAAATTTCCTGGTGGGATCCACTGGATGATTCCGCCCCTTCACTGCAACATTTTTCCGGCTGAAACATCCAAAAGTTGTTCAAATCGTCAGTTGTTTGTTTTGTTTGACCGGACTTACCCGCAGCCGATACGACGCTGTGCGTTCTTGGATATCGACGCTCGCTTGTTTTTTCGCTGATGTTTTTCCGGCGCAAAACGACTGATGCTATATTTGCATGTTGGGCGATCGTCGAATCAGCGCAGAATTAACTGAAAACAGTTCGAGCCGTTTTAGGAGTAATGGCATATACAGGGTTATTCACGCTATACGGCACGGAAGTTTGCGGCTAAACCGTTTGATTTTTAAAAAGTATTATTTTATGAATCGTCCGACGCTTACCGAGCGCACGTTTTCAAAATCTTTTTGTAATGTACAGAGTGTTCCAAAAGCCCTAAAAGTATCAAAGTTGTGTTTTTCTAAATGAAATACCCTATATATTATTGCATTTTTGGATTCTCTGAGC